CTACCAGGCTCCCTCGCACACACTGTTCAGCCAGTCCTAGGGGCTGGGAGTGGGGAGAGGACCATGGCCTCATCTCTATTTCTTTTTCCTTTTTCTTTTGTAGTGCCAGGGATCAAACTCAGGACCTTGTGCTTGCAAGGCAGGCGCGGTGCCAATGAGCTAAACCCCCAGTCACTCACCCCCTAATTTCTACATGAAGCAGGGGGTTGCCTTGGAGCACCTGTGACAAGGCTGGGCAGGGGCAGGCTAAGCTGGCTGTGCCGGCATCTTTGGAGTGCTCACACCCTGGAGAAAGGAGGGTTCACTGCCACCCTTCTGGACCAGCTGGGGACTTGTCAGGTGCTCCTCACCCAGTTTCCAACGCAGTGGCCTAGTGCTTCCTACCCAGCTGCCACTGTGAAGAAGCCCCCAGGTGGCACCAAAGCTGCTGGACCATGCTGAGGACCATGCTGAGAACCCTGGACTGGACATGGCACGAAGCTCATGGTGCAGGAGACCCCTTTTGCCCTGGCCCACTCTCCAGCTGCTAGTCTGCAGGGGTCCTGAATCACCAGGAACCATGTACCCATCTTGGAGAGCTCTGCATATCCCCTTCCCCAGATTGAGGCTTCCAGAGCAGCCCATTCACTGCAAGGTAAGAGCCTTCCTGCTGAGGGCACAGGTTCCAGGGAAAATGCCTGAGGGACAAGGGCTTTGCCTTTGAGATGAGGGGCCTACAGTGCAGGCAGGGAGAAGCGGGCCTGAGGCCCAGGTATGACAGGGAGACTCTCCCTATCTTGGAACTTCTGGGGCCAGGTCCTGGACACCCTGCTCACATGGGCCAGCAGCTGGCACACAGGAAGACTCCTTCACAAGGAGCAGCTGTGGCACTTCCCAGATCCCACCTCCCAGCATGGAGTCTGCTCCAGCAGCCAGGCCTGGCCCACCTACTTTGAGGGGTGGTGGGAAGGAGCATCGTTGTTCATCCATCCTGCTTCCCTGCAAGAGAAAGCAACACAGTGTTGGCACCCTCTCAGGCCTGCTGCCAGGCACCCTCCCCACAGAAGCTTGCACCCCTGCTGTGTAGAAGGGAAAGCCCAAGGAGGGCCCGCTGATGTGGAAATGCTCCAGGGGCAGGACGCTGCAGGGCTCGTTCCTCAGGCCTCTCTGGAGCACCGCTGTCCTGGCCCTCAGCAGCAGGGAGGGGCTGGGGGTTCCGTGTGGGATACACATGCTGGAGGGTGGGGGCAGGGATGGTATGCACGCCTGCCTGCGCAAGGCACGTGGGGAGGGGGCTGCTGCACCGATGCAGGTATGCAAGAGGGGGTGGGGGCGTGAAAGGTTGAGACAGGAGGAGGAAGGGGGCAGCGAGAGCAGGGCTTGGGCGGGAGAGCCCCTGAGGTGTCTGCAAGACTCCCACCCCTGGTACACCCCTGCCCACTTCCAGATACACATCTACGCTCAGACAGACAAGGGCCTGTGAGAGCAAGGCTAGGGTGGGGAGAGGGCTAGGGCTGAGGTACGGGGTAAGGCTGCACCCCAGGCTGCCTGGCTCATGGTTACCTCCCCCACTTGCAGCACCGCCTTTGGGCGCCTGGCATCTCTCCCCGCCTCCACTCTGCAAGGGGGTCCTGCAGAGCCTGAGATGCCTCTCACTGGGTGAGGCTGGTGTGTGGGGATGGGGGTGAGTTGAGGAGCTGACCACAGCTCTGCTGGGACCTACACAAGGACGGGAGCTGGTGCCTGCATGGGTTACCAGGTCAGAAAAGAGGCTGGGCACCAGTCCCCTCCTCAACCCCAACCCAGACAGCGGACTCTAAACCGCAAGCTGCCACTCTCTTGTCCTTGCATGGGGCATCGAAGGCTCCCAGCCTGTCCTCAGAGAGGTGTGGAGCTGGGAGAATTGAGAGGGCCCCCACCTCCAGCCCAGCCAGCTCTATGGCTCCCAGAACAGGCTTCTTTCTCTAGCCCTCCTCACCTGCATCTTTTCAATCATCGCAAACAGATCTGTGTTCTGCAACAGAGAGGTGGGAAGATTGAGGTCAGTCCTGAGGTGGCCCGGCTGACTGTGCCCAGCCAGAGAGATCCACCACCCAGCCCAGATCAGCCATCAGGGTCCCAGGGAGCAAGAGGAGTGTAGGGTGCAGTGTGGGACTGGGTTCTGGGTAACAGAGTCTATACTTGGACCTGCTGCCGAGAGAGGTGAGCCCACAGCTCAGGTCCTGGGTCCCGGTCATCCTGCCCCTCCCTGAAGGGAGGAGGCTGCTGCCCTGGGGAGAACTGGATCTCCCCCATGCACTACAGGGTCGGCAGTGCCTGAGTCAGGACAACAGACCCTGAAGGTGAGCCCCTGGTCCCAAGTCTAGAGATAAGCCCAGCCAGGATGAGAGGAGAATCTGTGGTTGCACCTCTCTCCCCTGGAAGCCAGCGAGTTAGCCCGGCCAAAGGCCTCTGATCATGCAACCCACTCTCCCCCAGGCAGGGGCTCTTAGGGTGAGAGGATGCCCACCGGCCGCACACATGTTCATGAGTCCACACATACTGTCTTCCACTGGAGACAGCCTGTCCCGAGGCTGGCCAGGGCTCACACAGGGTTAATCCAGCGTCTGCCAGCTGCCTGGCAGCAAGGGCCTCTAAAGCGCCAACTCCCTACAAGCCTTCCTGGAAGGCGGCATCCCGGCTGGCTGGTGGCTGGTGGGGGCTGGGGGCTGGGAAGCCCCCAGAGTCTCCAGGATGGTGCCCCTCCCCCAGCCCTTCCAAGGCTTAACTCAGGATGTTCCTGTGGTGGTTGGGGGGGAGGCTGCCTGAGCTCCCAAATGAGCTAGAAGGCTGTGCACTAGGAAACACACATGGGCATAGACAGGCCCCCTTTCCTGCTCATACACAGAAGCTGCATACCAACATTTAAACAGTCTCACTGCACATACATACATTTTATGTATTAAGAAACACACAGCTGGGTGTAGTGGTGCACATCTATAATCCCAGCACTCAGGAGGGTGAGGCAGGAGGATTGCTGTGAGTTCGAGATCAGCCTGGGCTACATAGTGAGTTCCAGGTCAGTCTCAACTACATAGTGAGACCCTGTCTCAAAAAAAAACCAAAAAAAAACCCCCACACACAAACTTATAGGGTCCACACATTATGATTCTAGAGCTAGAGCTACACACTAACAAATACAAATGTTGGTGTCCTGAGTTATACAATAGCACAACCACTCACACACAGGTCCATGTACCACAAAAGCTACATAAACATAAACTCACACCTGCACCTATGCAGATCTGTACACAACGTTACACAAACACCACAAAACCACTCTCCTGTCTGAAACACACTCCGAAGGACAGGCAGGTGTTCAGCAAAACAAACATTAGAACCCCACACACTCCACAGCTACCAACCCTCTTTCTCCATCAGGGTCACACACACACACACACACACACACAGACTGTGTAATGGCCACAACAAACACTCTTACACTATAACGAATTTTAAGAAAAAGCCAACATAGAATCATCAATCCTTACAGGCCAATACCTCACCTCCACCTGAGTACAACTCACCACCATACACACACAGACATATACACAAACACACAGTCCCGGTGAGGGTCACAAGACACAAATGCCTTCTCGTGTGCACTCTCTGAGGCCTGTTCACAGAATAAGACCCACCCTGGGAGGTCTACCACGGTCACCTCTGGCCACACCCAACACCTGTGAGTTTGGAAAAGACAATACCACCAGCAGTTACAGGAGACACTGCAGGCACACACCTGTAGTCCAGGGAGACACACGTCAACCCCACAGTGTGACAGCAACACTGGCATCTGTTGGGGTCAGAGGACTGTCTCCAACCTGCTCCTCCCATGACACACAGTAGCAGGGGCACCCCACTCAGGTGACCAAACAGCCGGAATAAAACACTATGCCTTGCTGCACCAGGAATCACAGCCACATAAACACTGACACATGGTACTGTCACCCGGAGTGTACACACACACAGCAACAAGTAACACCCACAATACAGCCTCACGGGCAGCAACAGATGCCCAAACACATGGCAAAAAGAGGCTGGGAGTGATGTGGCCCAGATGGGGGGTCCCCACCTCTGGCAGCACCACCCCACAAAGTTAAAGTGTGACACTCAGCTGACAGGACAAGGAGGGGAAAGAGATCCCGACAGCGGGACACACACACACACACTCACACACACACACACACACACACACACACACACACACACGGTGCCACTGTAGCCCAGAGTCTCCGCCGCCTGTAGGTTCCGTGGACAGCTGTAGAAAGAGCCCAAGGCCCGGACCGGGTGCACCCTGCCCTGCGGCCACCGCCCGGTGTCAGCCCAGAGGCCAACACACCCGCCCTAGCTCGGGC